TATTGAGGCACGGTACTGTGGGTGCCGCACGATGCTGGCGATGTGGCGTTCATGGTGGCCGACGTCTCCGAAGGCTGTGAGGTCATCATCGCAGATGCGGGTGACCGCAGTGGCGGCCTGCTCGGGCCGCAGGCAGTGGCGGCCGTGAGCACTTGTCGGTCGGTGATGAGGACGCCGCCGCAGAACCACTCCTGCCTGCCGGCGTCCGTCCGCCGGCCGAACAGCACCATCCACAGCCATTTACCGAGAATAGTGTTAAAGCAGCCGACAGCTTGTTGGATGGACCCAAGGCCTAAGAACTCCGTGTCTTCCAGAAGTGTGTCGTGTGCTTCAATAGCTTTTGCTTTACGGCGGAAACGGGGCACAGTTATTGTTCTGGTCCTAGATATGCGGACTAGAAAGGACAGGTGAATGGAGTGGTCCGCTTGTTGGTAGGTGGAGCCGTCCGCATGTTCGTCGAGACCAGAAACATAGACTCGCTTTGGCAAGGCCGGCGCAAACTATGGCGCGAGAAAATCGCTGTGCAATATCGCGGAAGCAAAGATTAAAGATGGAAGTGGTTTTGAAGGTATAGCCGCCGACAGTTTGTTGGATGGACGCTGCGATAAGGCCATAACAAGATAAGGCGATATGTCAACGATCCTGAGTCATCTATGTCTTGTATTCGACTCATCAATGAGTTATCTGTATGGAGAAATCCCCGCCGCCGACCTCCACAACCGCTGCCTGCAGGGAAGGTCCGCCGTGCTCATACTGAGCGATGGTGGAACCGCTATCTTGTTGTTTATCTGTCTACTCTAGAATTCCGCGGGAGGCGGCTGCAGTTGTATCCGATGTGTGCGGCAACATCCGTTCGGAAAACCTGTGGAGCGTGGGCCCACCCCTGATGACGATCGCCACTGCCCTGCCGCTGGCCCAGATGGCTCCGCCGCGCTCACGCCAAGCGTCGGCGGGACTACCGTTCCTCCTGGCGCTCGTGGGACAAGTGCTGTAGGGTTCACCCGCCGTTGTGCGGATTCCGTAGCGGGTTTCCAGGGGTGCAATATTCGATACTGCTGTGGGGGAGGGGGGGGGGGGAGTGGACGTTGGCACATCTGTTGTCGCTGTGATGCTGCCGGTGTCCACAGGTCGGCAGCCGCGAGTGTGGCGCCGACGTACAAGTCGTTGCCGAATCTGCATCGTGCGGGGCGTGATATTGCCTACCGCTGCCTTCGCCACTTTCACGGTCCTCACAGACAGATGAAGAGCACAAGTACCTGCCACGCTCAGATAAATTAAGCGCTTGAGCAGGCACCCGGCCAGGTCAGGGACTTTTCAACCAGTTTCTAATCATCGTTATGAGCACCCAAGGCCAGCTAGCTACTTGCACAACAACGATTATCGGAGAAATAACAGGAAAAAGAATATCCAACGAACCAGACCGTCACGAGACGCCACAAACATCTTCTCAGAATAATGTTTGAGATTCACGCACACTTTTCTGGGAACTGACAGTAAAACTGAAGTAAGTTACGAACAACTATACAGATAACTGGTACGAAACATTGATGAAACGTCAAAAAAAATTGATTTACTTTAACACTGCGCATCAAAATATTGCCATTTCTTCCTACGAAAGCCCAGCTCACGCATAAAAGGAGCCTAATCAAATAGCAGGGAAAAGGAGTATTTGCTAGTTATGTCACCCGACAAAGGAAGATAGGATATCAGAGTTTACAGGAAGTCTATTGTCCCCTAAACAGCACTGCTTCAGTCATTTTTATGTGGATCCCTATTCCACTGCAGGCGTGCATTGTGCAACTTCGCCTGGTGATGAAGACACAGCCGTCGGTAGGTGATCATCAGAATCCTGATCAGCTCGTTGCGGTGCTTTCCCAAAACCGCGCTCCTCAGCATCCACTAGGGCACTGCATAGCAAACCGCGTCCAGCTGCACAATCTAGCGACTGAGCTCCTGCTCACCACTCAGGACCACCTTTTGACTGCTGCTGCGGAGAGATTCATCAGCCCACTGCGATTTTTCAGTCACAGACGGTGACTTAAGGACGTGGGGGCCGTCGTGCTCCAGGCGGCTCACCAGTGCCTCTTAGCAGGTGCTGCAGCCTGCTCTGTCCAATGCCCCTCGGACGACGAACACGGTGGAATAGCAAACTGCGTTGGCGACCACGAAGACAGCCCCGGCCGGAATTCGTCCAGAATATCGAGCACCTCGGTGCTGCCGGTGTTACACGTGCCATCGGCACCAAGCTGACAGCGACTGTGACCCACAGTGAGGATGGATTGGGACCCAGCCTTGCGATGTTCCTCCTGCGTTCCGTGCAAATGGCGGAATGTAGCGACGAACGGGCTGGCGCCCGGGTTTGTTTCATCCACCTGAGAAAGCTGAGTGAACGGTAACGAACCCAGAAAAACCGTCGAACTCGATGTCAGATTTTGGAGTTAATCCTTTGCATTAAGACAGTGGGCACTTGCTCTAAAAAATGAGTGTAGATGTTCTCAAACAGATAAAAACAGCCTGCGAAACAAGGAGCACAACGTTATTTCACTCCAGCCGATGGTCTTGTAGTGGGTAGCTTATCAAGATCACCGCTGTTCGTAAACGGTGGAACAATGGAACTCGTCACTTCAAGCATACATTAAGTGGACATGGATCATTATCTCAAGTGGTGATTCACCAGCAAGCCAAATAAATGTTTGTGACTCCTTTTTACACAGTTTTGTCACTTTATGTTGTTCGCATCATTGCTTGTGACCGAAAGCAGGGCAAAAGGCTACAGGGAACACCAGAAATGCAGTTTTACTGGAGACTATTTAAAAGTTATATCCATGTTATGTGCATCGATGTACAGAGAGATAATTTATCTTATGGTTGGCCGAATCACATCTTAGGTGGTTTGGAGATGGAGCCGGGACTGATAAAAACATGTTCAAATTATCAGAAGAAAACATTTAAGCATAAGGGTAGCTTTATTTGCATGATAAAATCCTTTACTAACTCGCGCTCGGGTGGGGGGTGTCAAAATTCACCCCCCGAAGGTTTTTCCAAAATGGTTCCAAACGGCGCGGCCATAGCCGCCCCCAAATTTGGTACAGCTGTAGGCAAATAGGGGATCGCTCGGTGAAAAAAATTGAATGTACTCGATAAGGTCCGCTGACCTATGGCAGGTCAAAGTCAGGCCATGGCTTTTAGCGAGGTCAATTCAAGGGAACCGCTTAATCTGGTACAACAAAGGACTATTAGACGAAGCCATACGTTTCTGCAATGCTTTCTTAGATAGGTGCAAGAACTGAGTGAGCAGATTGCATTGACCTAAGGTCAGGTTTAAGTGTCAGACCAAGGTCAATGCCAACCCTGTTTTATTACTCTAAGGCTCACTGAATGGGATAGTTTCTAGTTGCTCATTTCGGACTAATTAATAGCACGAACCGCACTCTGCATCTTCCATGGACTTCTTAAAGGTCAGAATAAGTGATTAGCCTAAAGTGACCCATGTCAACATTTGGTCTTTAGTAGCATGCTGTCTAGCCTTGGACTTGTCGCTTATTCAATGCAATACTCAGACCAGTCTTGTATGACTTTGGTCACCATGACCTTCAAAAGGCCAAACAAGATTACTTACCTTAAATGTGCATGTGACCTTTTGCTTATAGAAAGTCATAGTGTTTGACCTCATTTGACCCGAAGGTAATGACCTAGGAAGGTCAAACTTGACCTAACTTAGTTCACGTACAGGTCAAGATGCCCTGTGAATTTGGTGTCTCTAGCTCTCATAGTTCTCGAGATTTCAGGGGGGAGGGGTCAATTGACTTCCCCCCCATCCGAGCGAAGGGTATCTAGCCGACCACCCGGGCGCATGTTAAATTATTCATGCTCAAATGATTAAAACCACCTAAATGTTCAAAAGGTTGAAATATGTAGCTAAAGCATGTTTTTTTCTTGCAGCTTTAATTCATGCTTAAATTAGGGAGGAGCAAGGCAATAAGCAAGCAATGTCAAAATGGCGACTGAGACATATAGTCGATTTTTTTCTCAGGGTTTTAGCTCCAACCATGTGTAAGATCAACATGATCTACATCTGCTTTTTGGAAGGTGGCAGGCTTGTCTTGGCACTGAACAAGAGATTGGATTGTGAAATGTGCATAATGCTAAGCCTATCTAGGTGATGAAGGTATTAGTATGGGCAAATGGTTCGAACCAAATATAGCCTCCAGACCATCTAGATCCGTTTCTGATCCCAAATAATGAGCAGCACCTCCTTGCTGCGCCGCTCGTTCTTGCGCGGCGCCAGCGGGCGACGCGCCAGCGCTGTGCACACGTCTTTGTATGCTGATAGTGTGCTGGTTCGCTCGGAGGTGCGTCGCAGGTAGCCCTGTTCGTTTCACGCTGAGCGAGAGCGCTCGCTGATAGGCCGAGATAAATGGCTAGATAAAACCCGTTCCTTCTCGGCTGCCAGCCATTCCTGTCGGGGTTTTACCGTCTGTCACTGCTGGCGGCTGCTTCGTGGGACGGGAGCGTCCACTATTTAAGGAATGCACGGCCTGGGTGATAAGGTCACGTGACAGCTGCCGTTAATTTATGCGTCACGGCAATCGCGCGACTTGATACGACAACGACATACGTATTAACCATGCATGCGGATCCGCAACAACGATGCAACACCTTACGCACATTACTACAGGACCTGGTGAGAAAAGAGCGACTGAAAGCTGTACGTCCAACTGATTGCAACTGTCGCGAAACCAACAAACGGAGACATAACCGACGCGTTTTCTCTGCGGCTACCAGTCGTTGGCATTGAGTGGCACCGACCGGGATAGTCCAGGCTGCTGACACCGAGTGGCGGACCGGACTTGGTGTCAGGATGTCAGGTACAAGCTGCAGATGTGGCGTGATGGAGCCGACCTGTTGTCAGATCCCGCAGTCGCCCCAGATCCGCGCTCGCTGTTCCGGTAAGTCGGGGCTGTTGTCCGGTAAGTGACCCGGTACCGGCCGTGCCGCAGGTGACCGCCCCGGAGCCGGCTCTCGGCTTCAGCACGCTGTACGACCACTGGCGTGGCCGCGAGAAGGGCAATCTCTTCAGCTACAGCCTCGGCTCGCCCAGCGAGCACTGGTCCTTCTACCAGATGCTCGGCACGCCCATCGTCTACATGATGTGGGAAATCGACTTTGTAAGCCCGATGTGCGGCTCGCGAAGCACTTGCAAATGGAGCTGGGCGTCAGATGCAGTATGAGTAATAATCAAAGGCGTCTGTTAATTGCGGTACGTACTGTGAGGCGGGACGGCTGCAAGGCAGCCGTTTTCACCGTGGACTATTAAACTGAAAGGCTTAACACGTTTCGGAATCCCGAGTAAACGCTCGAGTTTGTACATTGTCGGAATTAAGCATATTGGTAGTAGCTTGCTTGGCAGTTTTCGGTGGACAGCATTCGTTAAATGCGTGTAGCACATACACGGCATGTTTTTGTGATATCGCATTATCACATAGGGTTGTGGTGCATTGAGCTAACGCCATTGGTTTACATATGACAGGTTTACTGTCTTACATTGCGCCGCCCGGAACATGAATGTAAGATGTTTATTGTTTCTTGTTGGAACCAACACACAGAAAATGTCTTTGGTTGGCATAAAACCCCAAATTGCTTGATATTGTGTTTCTGATATGGACATCAGATAACATTGCGTTTAGTTAGGTTTTCTGCCCTTTAAATCCCCTTGGTCCTTGGACATTTTTCGGTGGATGAGGACTAGTGTGAGCACACTTGTTCCAGCACGCCATGGCATAATCACAACTGGGCTTAATAACCAGCATGTATTTCGATGTCAGGTGGAATCCAGATGTCAGTTATGATGTCAGCTCACCAGCACCGCTGTGTTTGCGTCGGCGTCGGCCAGATGTGCAAACTACCTCGGCAGCATGCGCTGCATGGCCGGAGACCTGGGCCGGGCAGAGTGGGAGCGTGGGCCGAGCGACCACTCACCCGCGGCTCCGACCCGCATGGACAGGCACGCTGGAGCTGGAACGACTTCCCGCTCTACCACACCGTGTACGAGACGTTCTCGGCCATGGCGCACCTGGACCCCGAGTTCGTGTATCACCAGGCGCTGGGGCGGCTGTGGGCCGTGCTGGCCCAGCGCCTGGCCCAGCAGCCGCTGCTGCCCATAGACGTGCGCGACGTGGAGAAGCCTCTCCGGCTGGGCCTTGACCACATCAGACGGAGCTACGGCCAGCTGATGGACCGGCACAACGTGTCGCTCGGTGGGTAACGCTGGCTGAGCCTGCCCGCAGCCAGCGACCGGTGATGAGTGAATCATGCCGTCGAACTCGGGTAAGCTGGGTTGTCGGAGCTTCAGGGTGTGGGGTGTTGACACTGCTGGCTCAGTTGTATCGTTGATAGGTACAAAACAGGCAACCAGAGGTCCGGCCTCTGTCCGTCAACCCAGTGGCTGATGTGTTTCCCGGCCAGCGACTGGTCTGTCTGTCCGGCCAGTGACTGATGTGCGGCCGGACCATTAAATGGTTTGTCTGCCCAGCCAGTGGCTGATGGTGGCCCAGCCAGCAACTGACCTGTCTATGCGGTCAGTGGGGAATGTTCCTGTCCAGCCAGTGATTGATGTCTCGGCGTGTTCATAGGCGGTCTGGAGCGGGCCGTGCAGCGGTACGTGACTGCAGCACAGCGGTTTCACAAGAAGATCATCTCACGCACCGATTATAGGTAGGTGCATCCGACGGCGTTTTTTGAGGGCTACGTGTATTGCATTCCGCCGTTCGGTCAAAATGTTGAATGGAAACGATCTGCTTTTTAAAGTTTTATGGCTGAGATTGACCATTGAAAGCAAATCTTGGTATTCATACTTATTTTCGGAACCAATGCGCGTTATTATTCATAATGCATTGGTTATGAAAGAAGCTGCTTGCCATATGACACTGACATAACAGATGGTGTCGTTTACACGATCCATAATGCACTGAACAAGTTACGTGATTCGTAAATGGCGTAAATGTGGTCCCGGCCCAAACGGACCGGAACCCTTAATGAGGCCTACAGCCAGCCTTTTTGACTCTTCAGCTTCCAAATTAGGCCCTGAATCGTCCATACTGAGGGGCCTCTAGGACTCTCCAAACACTGTCCCTGGTCCGATCAGGTTTCTTTTCAGCATAGGGCCGTCTGTGAGGCACTGTGGGCCTTGGCCGATACGGGATATCTCTCACCTACTGAGCGACAACGGTCAATGTAAATCATGGGTCCTATCCTTATCCCTGCTTGGGAAATGGGCCTTCAGGCCCAGAATGAATCGGAACCGACAGTTCGGTACTGATAATGCCTGGTCGACAAAGTGGGCCTCACCTACTCAGGGGGAAGAGCGTAATCAGCGCAAAGGGGCCTCTGATTTAAATTTGGGAGCCCGGCCCGCAGGGCTATCACCCTTAATACGACCTCCGGCCAGCCCCTCAGGCCCAGAAACCGGGCTCTCAGTCGCCAGTCTCGAGGACCCCTCGAGACCTAAAGGGGCGGGCGGGGGGGGGGGGGCAGATGCCGCTGTACCCCCCTCCCTTCACTGTCTGCACCACTTGATGACGTCGAGTGAAGATGGGAAAGGTGAATGCATGTGCGCTTTTAACTCCCTCCGAACGGTGTACCACTGGTGTTCAGGCTCAGCGACAATGTTTTTGCAGATTATTCGGAAGATTCGCTCGTAAAATATTATGTTCATTTACACCTAATCGGATTTAAACATGTTCCCCTGGCAATTCACAGCTCACCTTCACGTGTTCCAGTGATCTGGAGCTTCGACAGATCAACGATCAGATGGTCGGCGTCGAGAGATCATTTGTCGATCCAAACGGTCTTCTGGTCGATGAACAAAACCGGTGAGCTAAGCGATGCTGTACCACACTTCCACACGGGAACCGATAATTCCATGCGTTTCGATAAGTTATCTCGTAACCGTTATATGCCTCATTGACGCACGTTGTTTTCTACCATGGCTCAGTCAGCACCAGTTAGTGTCAGCGTGGATGACGTCAGCGCCTGGGGCCAGTCCCGCCAATGACGTCAGCGTCTTAGACCGTTCCAGTGAATGACGTCACCACCCGTCTCCCTTGATCGACGTCACTGCCTTAGCCTAGTCTCAGTTATTACGTCACCTCCTGACGACAGCCCCCCGGGTAACGTCACCGTATCAATGTGTCAAGCATGCGGCTTTCGACATGACCCTGTGTCGAGGCAGCTGACGCCTGCCTCCGAGTTGGCAGGAACGCCGTGTTCGGCACAGACCCGGACCACGAGTACAACGGCGTGCTGTTCCCAGACGTGGTAGAGACGCTGCTGCAGGTCAGCGAGCAGCCAGAGCGGCCCGATCTCTGGCAGTCCGCGCGTCGCGCCCTAGCCGCCGCCATCTTTGTGGTGAACGGTGCCGCGACTTCGCTGGCCGACCCAAGTCATTTCGTGCGGCCCTGGCCAGAGACTGAGCCAGACCAGACCCTGACCAGAAACTGAGGCGGCTTCGACCAGAGACTGGGGTGACCCTAGCCAGAGACTCAGGCGACCCCGACCATGGACTGAGGCGACTTTGGCCAGAGACTGGGGTGCCCCTGGCCAGAGACTCAGGCGACCTGACTGGGACTGAGGTGACTCTGACCAGAGTTAAGGCGGCCCTTGCTGGGGACTTAGGCGGACCTCACCAGGGACTGAGGCGACCCTGACTGGGACTGAGGCGACTCTGGCCAGAGACGGAGGTGACACTGGACAGAGACGGAGGTGGCCCTGGATGAGGACTGAGGCGACCCTGGCCAAAGACGGAGGCGACCCTGGATGAGGACTGAGGCGGGCCCCGACCAGGGACTGAGGCGAATCCGGTCAGGGACTGCGGCGGCCCTGACCGGGGATTGAGGCGGCTCTGAGTGGCGATTAAGGCGACCCCCACCTTTTCCATGAAGCCTCCACTGGCAAGAGGGAAAATCCGACGCTAAGCTGGCTAACATCCTGTGCGGAGATACTTTTGTCACAGCCTCACAGACAACCTGTAAGTGTATGCGTCACACGGGTAACACAAGGCGCATTTACATAAGCTCCCAGCAACGTAATTTCCACGGCGTGAATGCCATTACATACGTGCAAGCATGCATAATTTAAGCTTGCGGCAGTATCTGAGGCGAGTGTGGCTTACGGGCCTTGCGTTAAGATGTTGCAGGTACGTACAGTTACTTTGCAGCCCGGGTGCGTTCATAGGAGCCTCTGTCTAAACCACTTATGATGATACGTATATCATTCCATGTCGCTTACTTGTATAGTAACGGTGTAGCATGTACTGATCTGTCGGGACGTTGCATAATGCAGGCATTTCTATCTGTAATGCATCTGTGTTTACAACTTCTCTCAACGTTTACTGCGAACCTGGATGTCATCCAACTTTAAAGGTGTCAATACAAGTTGCCTTTCGAAGGGCGTCAGTTTGTGTAAATGGTTTTGGGGAGAGAGAGGGCTGAACAAAAGCCCAACAACCTAGCCCTCTTTAAAAGCGTGTCGGAATGGAGTTGGTCTATTCCAGTTTTACGAAAGGCAAGCTTTATATTTTACTTTAAAATTGATCAAACAAGCTTTATGTTGTATACTTCTGAGTTAGTTAGCAAATAGTGATTTATTTGAGCAGCCCACTGACCAGGGCCATAAAAAGATTCGCAACGAAAGCACTTATTGGGAAGTGTTCAGCCTTTTTATCAATTGTGTTGCCTTTTCCGATGTTGTTGCCAAGTTGCCTTTTTAAGAGCGTCGATTTGCGTAAATGTTTTTTGGAGAGGTAGAGCGATGAGCAAAGCCTCGAAAAACGAAAACCCCAGGCATCGTACGTTGGGCAAACTGGATGAGGCCCTCTCTTGACGTGCGTGTTCAGCTTGGTCAGGCCGCAACAGATGCGAACACATTCACAGTTCTTCTTTCGTACAACCAATATGGCATGACACCACGTTTTAGGCTCATACACGGGAACGATAATACAATTGGCCTCGAGATCCGGTTTAGCTGCCGGTCCAACTGCCGGTTTACATTGTCTGGCCACACGAACGGGATCTTGCGTGCAGTGGTCAGTTTAACTGGCTTCGCGCCGCACCGAGTATGTATTTTCATTGGCCTGCCTGCCGTCTTGCGGAGTGTGGATGCATCAAACACACGCGTTAACGCCGCCTTCATCTGCGCCAGATGATCTGCCCGCTGCTGTGTTGAAGGGGCACCCATGTCAGAAGACCAGACTGTTCTACACGGCCTGCGACTTTGACTGGTCGTGGATGCCGCTGATGGTTCGCAGGCGCTGACGTGCGGGTTCTCCAGCGCAGTCTGCTGCGCGCTTCTGCCGTTAGATGGCGCCACCTGCTGCGAGTCCTGAAGCATAGACAGCGTCACTTGCTCCCAGTCTTAGCCATGGGCAGCGTCACCTGCGCTCCGCCACTGGTGGACGGCTGTGTCGGATGCGGCTGACGTTTCGGGGATGGAGACGATCGTCGGTGCGCTGAAAGCAGGGTACGCGGGGCATAGCCAGAGTGTTCTCTGTCGGGAAGTGACTAGAGCTGACATTAAGGTCGGCGTCTGTTTCTTAAACTCGAGCGCATGTAGTCTGCTTCGGAAAAGAACGCCGGAGGCTGCGCGAGTTCAGTTGATAATTCGCATCTGACATTGACGTAGATACCAGCAATGGCGTTGGCCGGCCAACGATTTCTGCTTACAACAGAAGGCGACGGCTGCCGGAATGGCGAACCATGAACAAGGTCATCAGTTCGCTCTTTATGGTCGGGATTTTTTGCGTTGCAAGCGGAAGCAGACGATCACGTGACGCGCCGAGAAGGCCTGAGATTTAGTATTCGTTTGTCAAGCTGGCATAGCTCACATCTCCCGATTCTGTCTCCGAATCACAAATTTACGCGGACTGCCGAGTTTCCTGGTGCCTAACTGTGTCGTTACTGTTGACAATCAGACGTTGTTTGTCATTGAATAAAAACATGAGATGATAACTGGAGTAGGTCAAAAGTGGATCACAAATGCCACAGGTTTTCCGCATGGTAAAAGGCTAATGACGAAACGATAAGATGGTTCGAGTGTTTGCTACACAATTTCGTGCGACTTGTGTATGAATTTTGCATAAATGCCAGTTTGTCAAAACAAGGTTGAACGGATAAGGACAGTCTGTGGCCCAGTATAGGTAAGCAGCAAAACCACTGGAGGGTTGAAAAGTGTCTCTCCCTGATGTTATGGCAAACTTGGCCATCTGACCACATATAGTGCAAGAGATATACAACAGGCCACATCGCTGGGTGTTTTATCGCAACATGATGAAGCTTGCTTTGAATCTTATTCAACCGACTATTTTTACATAAGCAACAGTTTTTTTCTGGAAAAGACACTTTCAACTATTGCAAAGCGTCGACCGCGCTCTTTTAAGCCAGTCTCACTGGTCGCCAGCCATTGCCTTATCTGTGATTTGTCTTCCAGTTGTCAGTATGGCTGTTGAGGAGCTTGTGCCAGTCCTGATGTACCGTTATATGCAGGAGCCTACTATCAAACTACACAAAACTACTCTTATATGCAGGAGCCTACTATCGAACTATACGAAAAAAATATACGCTTACTCTCGGCACCACGTGCCATACCATCTACTTGTCAATAAGATGGTGTTTTTGGATCTCAGACCGCAATTGATGACCAAGAAACGAGAACAGCTTTCATTGAATAAATCAGTCCGTTTTACCTCCAAGTTTTGTGGTAGCTTACAGCTCATTGTGAGCTTCGCGCAGATTGCAGCTTCACATCGGCGTGTAATTGGCATGCGAAGGCAAGTGCGATGTAAAACAGTGGCCAAGTGTCAGTGCTAATTGAAATGAACGCTACCTCCATAGCACGTGTTTTTAATCCCGGGACGCAACTGACACCTGCGCTAATCCAGGAAGGAATCAGGTTTTGAAGGCAGATTAGGTAAGCCCTGCCGGCTGAGACCAGCCCGACCCCTCTTCCCTTGCCGCGCCTCATTGCACCGTTTTTAGCAACTGAAGCCTCTAAGAGGAAGCCATCACCATTCGGGCCATGTAGTTTTACGTTTTCATTACAAAATTATTTACAGTCGCATCATTGCGCATGTCGCACCATCGCGCGTTCGATTCCCCGCGCAGCAGGTGATTTGTTCCGATTATTGTGTGCATTATATACTGCATTATTGTCCACGCAACAATTGATGTTAACCGCAACACAACGCAGTCACACCAAGTTATGCAGCTGCTAAGTTTCTCACGTAATTGTACCTTCACATTGGCGTGTACTCGGCAAACAAATGAAATTCCAGTGCGGTGCAGGGGCCAAGTGTGAGTGCAGGATGAATGGGTCCTTCAACCGCAGCATAATTGCTTTGAGTTGAAACAAAAATATTAGAATACCTGACAAACAACTTATAGGGGACAATATCCTGAAAGAAATCAAGTTTCGGGTCAGGCTAGGTAGCCGTGTCGGCTCAGACCCCTCCCCCCCCCCCACAACCGTTTCTGGAAGGTGACACCATAAAACAGAAAGAATATGATAAACAGAAGTAAAGTTTAAAAAGTAAGGCACCTGAGAGGAGGCAAACACCACTGGACCATCAGGTTGGAAATGACGTCAGCCGTCACACAGAGCAATCGTCCGAGGCCGTGCATTTCTTCGAAGTCGATGTCCGCCAGGTGTGAGTCCATGGGCGAGTGGTAATGATACAGCCCTGCACGTGGGCATATCAGCAAATGTTCTCGCTCAGCATGATGCAAACCGGCCTACCAGCGGTTCAGCTCCGAGTGAACCAGCACACTATCCGCATACAAAAGACGTGTGCACAGCGCTGGCGGCGCCCGCTGGTGCCGCGCCAGACCGAGCGGACCAGCAGGGAGGCGCTGGAGCCACACAGACGGCCCCACTGCGCCAGGCCAGGCGACGACGAGAGGAGGTGACAGCGGTCGTGCGAGAGGTGGCGCCGCAGCTCGCGCTAGCATGAAACGCTGGTCGTGTCACGTGACCTTACTGTTTGCGCTGCTCAGCGCCGTAATACCAGTCGAGTTTTTGCACCGGTCGGGACGCTGCAGTGGTGAGGACCGACACTACAAATCAATCCTCGACTGCCCGAACTACAAGACCAGAGCGGACATCCTGAACAAGTCACCGACGCCCTGAGGCTTTTCGGGTGGGACGCCGCTCATCTGTTGCGAGTCTACGGGAGCCACCCCGCCGAAGCCTGTAAACCCGACATAGCTGCTGGCCGAAGAATGCGGAAACCCTAACAAAACAATCAATGTCTTCCGTTTCCACCGTGACACGACAGCCATTGCAACACATGATATAGTGATGGACGACACGGATTTCCTAGGCCCTGTGTTTATGGTACAAGGTGTTGGCGCCTTTGACGCTATACTAGGTAAGTGGCCGTGGATGGTGCTGTTCGGCTGGCAGACGGATGCCGGCGGGCAGGAGTGGTTCTGCGGCGGCGTCCTCATCAC